TCTCATCACCACTGGGGTGCTTCATAGACCTAGCCCCTAGCCTAACTATAGACAAGGTTGGTGATGGCAGCAGAGATGACGATGATGGTGGTGGTGGGAATAAAGGCAGTGCTATAATTATTATCATTTCCAGAGAGGCTGTATTTCTGCCTACAAGCCCTAGAGTCAGGCTGCTTAGCTTCAATGCCAGCTCTTTCATTTCTTATTTCTGTGACCCTAGGCAAATTGCCTTACCTCTCCTGGATAAGGTCTTTCCTCATCAGTGAAACAGGAATGAAAATAATAGTATTTACCAGATCATAGGATTGTTGGGTGATTTAAATGAATTAAGATATGTCATATAACTTAAAAAACGTTATTTTCTTATTTTAAAATTTTTACCGCTAGCCCTTGCCTGAGGGGGAAAAAACATTATTTGGTAATCTCAAATCGATAATTGGCATGTGCTAAGGATAGTATCGTTTTTCATCCCTTGAAGATGCTGTTATTACCTTTTACAGGTGAGGAACTTGAGGCTTAGAAAAGTTAAGTAAGTTGCTTACAGTTACGTCATCTGGATTCAAACTCACATCTGTGTGACTCCAGAATGTCTGCTCTTTAAAACATGATGCCCCTCGGGAATCACAGAACAGAGCAGGAATGCGGCTGCCATTTAATGTGGCAGAGTCTGTGTTTATCCTAACAGGGCTGCTTCAATGGGGCGAGCATGTTGGGAACTAGGCAGGACCATCCATCTGGAGGCTTGAGTTCTAGTTTTGGCTTTCATCTGCTGCCTTTGTGATCTTGAGCAAGTCCCTTAAATACATACAGGGTTCAGATTCATATCAATAACCTGGGAATAATGGAGTTTCATAGAGGATGAAGTGAGAATATGATAATAGTAACCTGATAATAATTTATGGAAGAGAATAAGGGGCCTAGCTTACCATATAGGCATTTTAAAAAATAATACCTCCCTCTGATGTTATTTGTTTTTTATTTGCTACTTCCTGAAAGTGAAAGTTGTATTTCATGCTTCTGGGATTGAACCTGAGGTTTCAGATGGTGAACCAAGAACTTGAGAACTGAAGCTTTGGACTATCAAACACATTAATAAGCAAAGTGAATTTAGTGCACAAATAACTAATACAAGTAAAATAACATGGACTTGTGTGAGTGGTTTGGAGGGGGATGGATGTGACACTAAAATGAATGAGGATCGGCTGGATGCAGTGGCTCACGCCTGTAATCCTAGCATTTTGGGAAGCTGAGGGGGGCAGATAATGAGATCAAGAGATCCAGACCATCCTGGCCAACATGGTGAAACCCTGTCTCTACTAAAAATACAAAAATTAGCTGGGCGTGGTGGCATGTGCCTGTAGTCCCAGCTACTCAGGAGGCTGAGGCAGTAGAAACGCTTGAACCTGGGAGGTGGAGGTTGCAGAGAGCTGAGATTGCACCACTGTACTTCAGCCTGGCGGCAGAGCGAGACTCTGTTTCAAAAAAAAAAAAAAGAGTGAGGATCACAGATTGAAAATATATTAGGCTTCTCCTTTCTGTGACTGTTGTGTTATGTCAGAACAGACTGAGGTTTTGTATGGAACACGTATAGTTAAATTGTCCTTTATCTTACTCAGCAATTACTATCAGGGATCCAGAATGCATATGACCTCTAAAAATAATGTAAAGCTTACTTTTGAACAACACAGGGGTTAACATGCGGACTCCCGCACAATCAAAAATCTGTGTGTAACTTTTGACTCTGCCAAAACGGAAATAGCCTACTGTTGACTGGAAGCCTTACCAGCAACATAAATAGTTGGTTAACATATAATTAAACTAGTATCTACATATGTTTTATGCCTCATGACATACCTAATTTGTCTTAATTTTTTTGATATTTCTAGGTTTTGCAGTTTGTCTTTGAGTTTTCCCAAATAGTCATAAATCTCCAAATAGTTTTTCAGTATATTTTGTTAAAAGAATCTGCGTACAAGTGGCATCACGTAGTTTAGACCTACGTTGTTTAAGGGTCAACTGTATTTTATAGACACACTCGTCTCTTACTTAACCTATTTTTATTAGAATTAAACATATCTAATTAACTTTTTGCTGATTTCCATGTCTGCTGCAGTTAGAATGCAGGGGTTGGGGCAGGAAGTGGGGTAGGGACTTCATGCAGTAATTCAGTGTTGAGAAGTAATAGGAGGAGCTTGACCAATATGGGTAAAAAAATTCAGAACATAGTAAGTTTTCTTAGTATGGAATCTTTAAATAAAAAGTGTATTTGCATCTGTGCCCTCATGTCAGTTTTGTGAGATAATTTAAGAAAGTAATGGTACTAACACTTTTTTATGGGGAAGAAAGTTGGGACCCAGAGAGCTTCAGTGACTCTCTTAGGGGCTGGCAGCTTATGTGAGATAGGCTAAACCAGGAATTGAACCCAGCTCATGAGATTCCACACCTTGCAATTTCCGGGCAGAGATGTAGAGAACAAGGCCAGAGGAGCCTCTTGGGTCTTGGGGGCATTATGTTTGAGTGCTCAGTGGGATTAATGTTACTGGTAATTGCCTGGGAAACACTAATAAAGGTTAAATCATGTTGATGTGGTCCATTTAAGAAGATGGGAAAGAGTTCCCCATTTTGGCAACATTTTCATCTAGAATAATTTAAAATTAGAAAACAAAACTGTTTGGTATTTAATGAATACAACCACAAATATCTGGAACACTTTGTTGATCAAAGTGGCTCATTTCCTGAGGGTCTAAATTGCTGTTTTCTTTGGTTTATTTGTTAGTTTTTTCACTCTGTAGTGGCACTTGAAAAGTGTTTTGTGTTTTGGAATAAAGGAAGAGTAAACCAGCATAGTGCCTTTAAACTTTTTTCCTCCAGTAAAAGAATTTTGAAAACTATAGATTTCTTTATTGACATTTGAAATTTTTCATCATAAGTCTAAATCATTTGCTAATGGTATATTTCCCATTTTATTGTAAATATTGGCATTTCTTAATAAAATTGCTATATTGTTAAATATATTTGTCTTAAACAAAACCTATAACTTTATGATACTTTCTGTTATCCATTTATAAGCTACTCTTTGTCTGAAGTTTTTGTGTTAATATGACTTCTTAAAACTTTTACCACATTTTATCTTTATGCATTGTTATGTTTAAAATCTATTATTGATTACCCTATCAATTTCCAGGTAAAAAAGTTACTCTTCTGTAACCATATGGCTCCCGTGATTTTTCAAAAGGCTATTATTAGAGTGATTATTAGAACACAGTAGGTCAAAATACACATGTAAATTGCAAATCTTTGAAAAACATTAGAGATAAAAATACAGTTTTACTAGCAATTTATCTCTCTGTGCATCATTGGTGTTTATCTTCTATTTAGTTCATAATTAGTAGATGAATATTATTGGGGAAAGAGTTCAGCATATTTTTCATTATTTTTTAATATATACACTGAAATTTTGTTTATATAAGTAAGTTGAAGAGAATGAGAGTATTTATATAGCAGTGTTACTCATTTCTTTGAACAGTGATTTATCATTTAAAATGATTTTTAATGATTTATCAGCTGACAACTCAATTAGGTCCTTCTCCAGTTTTATTCTAAACAAAGAATTGGCAAAGCCACCTGAGTTGCAAAAGAAGAGTGATTAATTAGGGCCATTCACTTTTTCACCAACAGTATTTCTAATTGTCCCCTTGTATCTTGCCCAGAGGTTTTTTTTGTTGTTTTTTTCTTTTTTTTTTTTTTTTTTTTTTTTTTTTTTGTCTCCTACCCCAAGCAATGCCCCAGAGTGACAGACTGATGATGGGTGAGCTTGATTTTCTAAAATGAGAGAATAATGAGAGGTTTGGGAAAGGGAAGGTAAGAAAGGGGAATCTCCTCCCCAGAGCATTCTCAGACTGGTCAGTTTTAAGGAGAGCCTACTTGGAAAAGTTGATATGGAAATTGATTTACTACCTGTGTGCCTGCTAACCCTTTGGAAAACCATGTACTCCCAGAAGTTTGCTTATCCAGTTTGGAGACTTTTGTGCTAGTCATTGGTGGATTTTGGCATCTTAATTTTTAAATAAGAATTTATAGGGTGTATGCGTGTACATGTCCCTTAAACTTAGAACACTGCTGACCAAGGTAAATTGTTTGTGCTGTCTAGGGTAATGTCTTAGGCCTTAGGTCTTGATTGCTTCTGTGCATCTGTTTATAGATTGTCTTTTCCTGAGCGTGAGTCTTTGCGATCCTAATTCTCTGTAAGTTTTCCAGATCAGAATTAACACCTGAACTGCTTGTAACTTATCCCCCTTTATATCTTGTGCTACTCTTATACTCACATTGACTAGTACTTTGGCAAAGCATATCTAAAATAGCTTAATATAGGGAACTACTTGCAGTTTTGAGTAAACAACAAACAATTGGCCACAGTAAGATTACTTTCTGCCTCCCAGCTATTTTGGGTGTCAGCTTATAAAATTATAATAGTACAAGGGACCACAGATGTAATTTATATTAACTCTTTAGTTTTATAGAAAATGAAACTAGAGAGGTTAGGCCAATTGTCTGAAGTCACATAGGTGGTAGGAAAGAAGTAGAACCTATGTCCCTTAACTCCCAGTATTACAACCTTTGCTACATCACACCTTCTGCTGCCTTCTGCTAAATTGCATTCCTCATCTCAATCCTATTTAATACTGTTTCTCCTGAGGAATGATTAGCTTTTGGTGATTCAGCATTATTTTTTAAGTAGAAAGGCATTCACTTTCTCATTGAAGACTTTCTCAAAACAAAAATACTCCTTACCCCCTAGCAGATTATTTTTGCTGCACAATAGGATGTGGCTAGGTAAGCCTGGGCCCTCTGGCCCCAGGGCAGTGGCCCTGGGGGAGGAAGGGGATATTAAAAGGTCAGGGTAGAGGTGGATTGGCAGAGCGGGGGCTGGTGGGAGTGGGAAGCTTACATCATTTCCCTGCAACTGGGCTCTGGCGGGGCTGTAAGGCCTTACTTTCCCCTGTGTAACAGTTTACCAGATTGATAGAGATTCATGAAAGAAAGGAAAGGTATGGCAGGATGGATGCCCACCCTGTTTATAAATCTGTGCTCTTAGATGAAACTGTCAATAAGTAACTAGAAGCAGCCAGGACTGTCTGTGCTTCGCTCTCTCCCCCAGCTCAGTTCCTTTCTGCTCCGCCCCATCCCTGCTCTCTGCTGCTCAGATCAGCTTCCTGCTTCTCATGAAAGCTGTTCCCCTATAAAGCTGGTCTGCTTTCACTGAAAGAATTATATTCATAAGTCTGAAGCTGGTTTTGTGGAAATATTGTTGGTGTGGTTTCTTTGGGAGATGAAGGAGGAGGAAAGAATTTTAAAAAAAGAAAGGGGCAGGCTGAAAGAGCAAAATCATCCTGAAGTTTGTGGTCACATCGTGCCGGTGTTATAACCAGCTCTGTAGACTGCTGCACTGAAAACATTTCTGTGAGAGGTATGTGCTTGAAAATGGAAAGGCGACTGTTGGCTGTGGAGCAAACTGCCCGTCCAGCAGCTGCTCAGATGGCTGTGAGGTCGTAATTCTGTCTAGTGTTTTGATATGGAAAGGGCAATCCTTACTTGAAACGTAGTGCAGTTAACCAGCTTAATGGTAAAAAAGGTTAAATATGTGCTTCGTCCCCACATCAGGACTCCTGAAATGCTCGTTCGGGCTGAAAACGTCTAGTCAAATCCACGGTGTTATTCCAGGCTCTTTTGGTGGCGGTTGTCTGTAAACAAGACGATGATTTTTAATACGTCTCTCATTATTTATGAACCACATGACAAAGATTAATGGGAGAGACTCCAAGTAGCCTAGAAGAAGCTTCGGATTCGTTAGGAGCTTTTTGCACTGACAGATGGCAAAAGTAAAAGGAAATGGGTGATGATTTATTGTAATCTGAAGTGAAAGTTTTTAAGTTTAGAGGGTGTGTTAGTTACATCTAAGTGGAAAAATCTGGAAGGGCCGCTAAAATTTAGAAGCATAGCCTACAACCATTGATGCCTGAGCTGTATTAAGGCCAGAAGCCTTTTGAGCACACATGCATGTATCTTTCAAAGGAAATTAAGAAATCTTTATAAATGCTTTTATTCCGTAGTCAGAGAAAAGTATCAAGACCAAGAATATAACCAACACATAAGGAAGCATGGAGAACTGTGTATTGGTTACTAAAAAGCCGGATTGTTCTGTTATAGAAATTAGAAAATGTTTAAAGTAGGAAAAGATATAACATTTTCTCATGTGCATTAGATGAGCTACTAGTGGTAGAAGCCATTCAAACTACAAAGTAGTTTCTGCTTGATTTGAATTATTCTATCATGGAAGAATCTTGAGAACTTTTGAATGTTAGTATGTTTTAAATTTATCTTACAACATTTGGAAATTAAATTGTTTAAGTTAATTTACATATGAAGGTGCTGACACTGTTCTTTTCCGCAAAGACAGTAGTGCTTAAATCTTTGAAACCTTTTACTCATTAATAGAATATGCCAGCTGTTATAACCACAGCTATTATAAATTCTTGAGAGTGCACCATTTAAATTTCATTTCTTCTCAAATATTTGTAAAAAGGAGTTTATCTTCATAATCATAGAGGATAGCAGAAGGAATCTGGGAAGTAAACCTAATACAGGCCTCTGAGGAGGACTCGCCCCTGCACCGCAGACAAGTGACTGTCCTGATGTCCATGTGCACCTCGCATTACTGTGCTTCACTTTACTGTACGTCACAGATACTGTACTTTTTACAAATTGAAGATCTGTGCCCACCCCCCCCCCCCACCAAAGTTTGGTGTGGATAGATCAAACCAACCACAGCACTCCCTTAAGCCAAAGACTAAGCCAGGTTATTGGCACTGTTTTCCCAGCCTATGCCCTCACTTCCTGTTTCTATGTTACATTTTGGTCATTCTCGTAACATTTCAAACATGTTCATGATTATCATATCTGCTATGGTGATCTGTGATATCTTTGTTTTTAGTATTGTGATTGTTTCGGGGCACCTGGAACTACACCCATATAAGACTGCAAAATTAATTGGTAAAAGTTGTATGTGTTCTGATTGCTCCACTCACTGGCGTTCCCATCTTTCTCCCTGTCCTCAGACACAACAATATTGAAATTAGGCCAATTAATTACCCAGTAGTGGCCTTTAAATGTTCAAATGAAAGGATCTCACGTTTCCCACTTTAAATGGAAAGCTAGAAATGATTAAGCTTATTGAGGAAGGCATGTCAAAAGGTGAGACAGGTGGAAAGGTAGGGCTCCTACACTAGCAGCTAGCCAAGTTGTGAATGCAAAGGAAAAGTTCTTGAAGAAAATTAAAAGTGCTACTCCAGGGAACACAAGTGATAAGGAAGGAAAACAGTCTTACTGTTGATATGGAGAAAGTTTGGTCTGGATAGATCAAACCAACCACAACACTCCCTTAAGCCAAAGACTAATCCGGAGGAAGGCCCTAACTTTCTTCAATTATCTGAAGGCTAAGAGATGAGGAAGCTGCAGATGAAAAGTTTGACGCTAACAGAGGTTGGTTCATGAGATTTAAGGAAAGAAGCTGTCTCTAAAAGTGCAAGGGGAAGCAGCAAGTGCTGATGGAGAACCTACAGCAAGTTATCCAGAAGATCTAGCTAAGACTGTTGATGAGGGCGGCTACACTAAACAACGTATTTTCAGTGTGGACAAAATACCTTTCAATTGGAGGAAGATGCTATCTAGGATTTTCATAGCTACAGATATGTCAGTGCTTAGCTTCAAAGCTTCAAAGGACAGATGGACTCTCCTTAGGTACTAATGCAGCTGGTGACTTTATAAGATAAAGCCATTGCTCATTTACCATTCCAAAGATACGAAGACCCTTAAGGATTCTGCTACATCTATTCTGACTGTGCTCTATCAGTGCAACAACCAATCCTGGATGGCAGCACATCTGTTTACAGCAGGGTTTACTGAATATTTTAAGCTCACTATTGAGACCTGCTGCTCAAAAAAAAATTCCTTTCAAAATGTCACTGCTCATTGACTATGTACCTGGTCAACAAGAGCTCTGATGGAGGTGTACAAGAAGATTAATGTTTTCATGCCTACTAACACAGCATTTATTCTGTAGCCCATGGATCATGGAGTAATTTTGATTTTGACATCTTATTCTATAAGAAATACATTTCATAAGGCTACAGCTGCCATAAATAGTGATTATAGTGATTGCTCTGGTGGATCTGGATATAGTTATTGAAAACCTTCTGGAAAGATTCACCATTCTAGATGCTATTAAGAATATTGATGATTTGGCCAGACATGATGACTCACACCTATAATCCCAGCACTTGGGGAAGCCGAGGCAGGACGATCACTTGAGCCCAGGAGTTTGAGATCAGCCTGGGCAACATAGTGAGACCTCGTCTCAAAAAATATATATTGATGATTTATTGGGAGGAGGTGAAAATACCAACATTAACAGGAATACCTCTCATGCATGACATTGAGGGATTCAAGTTATCTGTGGAAAGGGTAACTGTAGAAGTGGTAGAAATAGCAGGAAAACTGAAATTAGAAGTGGACCCTGAAGAAACGACTGAATTGCTGTTATTGTACAATGAAAACTTGAACAATGAGGAGAAGTTGCTTCTTGTGAATGAACAAAGAAACTGGTTTTTGAGACGGAATCTATTCCTGGTAAAGATGCTGTGAACATGGTTGAAATGACAACCAAAGATTTAGACCATTATACAACCTTAGTTGAGAAAGCAGTGGTGGGGTTTGAGAGGACTGATTCCAGTTTTGAGGGAAGTGGGTAAAATGCTATCAAACCACATCTCCTGGTACATATCCATCTTTTGTGAAAGGAAGTGTCAATCAATGCATCAAACTTTCCTGTCATCTTATTTTAAGAAATTGCCACAGTCACCTTGACCTTCGGCAACCACCCCTTAATCAGCCATCAACTTGGAGGCAAGACCCTTTAACAGCAAAGAGTATGGCTCACTGAAGGCTCAGATGATCACTACCATTAAAAAAAGTTTTAAATTTAGTCTGTACCTCATTGTTTTTAAGAAATAATGTTATTTGCATACTTAATATAGTGCAGTAGAATGTAAACATGAATTTTATATGCACTGGGAAACAGAAAGTTGGTGTGACTTGCTTTATTTGTATTCACTTTGCTGTGGTGGTCTGGGACTGAAGCGTTAGTATCTCCAAGGATTGCCTGTCTTTACCTTGGTCATTCTCAAGTGTAGCTGCATATTGGAACCCCCGGGGAAGTTTTAAATTCCTGCCATTGCCCAGGCCCTTCCCCAGAGATTTTAATTTAATTGGTTGGAGGTGGGGCCTGGATATTGATAGTTCTAAAACTATTCCCAGGTGTTTCTAATGTGTAGTCAGACTTGACAGTTGCATTGCCTGAACATTCCTGGTGCCATAGCAGCCTGTTCCGTTTTGGGTACTGTTTGTATCTGCTTTGGTATGTGTCCTCTTAGGTCGGAACTCCTCTGTCACAGAGCAGCTCATCAGATATTTAATATCATCCTCCTCCAAGACTTAGCTTTTCCAGCCTAAATAGTCCTGGTTCCTGCAGTCTTCAGCGCTCGTTTTCTATGCTCTTCACTATTCTGGTCACTCCCCTTCCTGGAATTGCTCTTGTTTGTCAGTATCATTCTTAAACAGGGTACTTTTGGGACTGAGCCTATCATTCTAGATGTCTGGGGCCCAGCAGAGGATGCAGAGAATACAGTAAAGCTGTGACTCTATGGTTCTGTACATGACACTTCTGTTATTGATAGCTAAGATTACATTCATTTTTTTGGCAGTCATGTCACACTGTTGACTCATGGGGAGCTCAAAGTCGGCTCAAGCCCTTAGTTCTTTCTCAAGTACATAAACTACTTAAATCAGGTCTCTCCTTCCCCATGCTTACAGGGCCTCTCCCCTCCCCTACTTTATTGCCAGGATTTACATTTTTCCTTTTGAAACATAAGAGGAAAACCCAGTGGATCAGTTATTCCACACAGGGAGATAGTACATCCAAACTGAATGCCAGAGATTTATTACATATCTGTAGCAGCAGTTTTAAGGAATGATCTAGTTCGTTCATTTGGGTCCACAGTTAAAGATATTCTTAATTCAGTTCATCTTTCCAGCGTGCCTTTTGATTTATTACTTAAAACTCGCTGTTCAGAGTTAAGCATTTACTTGTCTGCATTGCTTGTTTTAATATTTGTATTCAGTACTTGGTGAGATGCCTTTTCGCAATTAAAATACATTGTAACCATTGCATTCTCCTGAACTATTGGCATAACATCTTTAAAATCTGTCCTAACATTCTTAATTAACAACAGAAGTGACTATTTTGCAGATTAGCAGGTGATTTGTGTACATTCACTACTGTCAAGGCTGGAACCCAAATCTAACTCTGCGGGTCCCCAATTCAGTATTCTTTGTATCAAACCACAATGGCTG